CAGCAGGAAACAAGAAAAGCAATCACATAATTATTATAATCTAGACACCAAGTGCTTTTATGCATAATAAAACAAACGTTTTGACCATGGTGAGCTTTGCTCACAAAATATCAATTTGATCAAAGATGGAGAAAGAGTTTATTAAAGTATGGAATCATTGTTTATAAAGCCATAACTCTGGACATCTTATAAAGCAGCAGCCTATAAAGTAAAATAAAATATGAACCTATTCTGAAAAACTGTGGGGTTGAGGGGAGCTGTTATGCTCCTGGAGCAGAGTGTGGGCCACTAGAAAACTCAGCTCATTTTCCAAACATATAGCTCATTAGTTTGTGGTAATTTAGAAGTAAATGAGACAGAGTCAACATACTGTATTTGAATACCTCATAAACACTGACAGTGCCAGCCTGGACCAACAGCAGCATGATTAATGCTGAGCAGAGAGGAATTTTGTGCCTTGTCATGCAGAAAGCACTGAGCGAGGGATGTGAGCCAACACAAAGATACAGGTCCAAACCTTTATAGCACTTTGGTCATTTCTGACAATGCTGGGCATATTTCTTTACTCAGGATCATCAGTTTCATTTTATGGTCAAAGCCAGGGAACGCACATAGCGACGTATGGTCACAAAAGCCTGAATGCAGCTAATCGGTTTATCTGGAAACAGGACATAATGCCTCTCAGAGTGCAGATTGTTCAGAGAGGCAGACTTAGTCATGGGACCCCTGATGCACATTTCCCCTTGGCTCCTTCGCTCCTGCACCCAGCTTCCAATCCTAACTACCCTGTCCCAAGGGTCACTGTGTTTTTAGCCATATGCTATGGGATTACCAGTGTGAAGTTTACACTACTATATACATTCATCTCCAGTTTGACTCACTTTTATACTTGGGAATATCCAGTTTACATAATATTTAATTTAGTGTATGTTTCTTATCTGAAACTTCTCCAGCCCTGGTAAGGCTGCATTACCAACCAGGCAAATTGGATAACTGCCCTGGGGCAGCCATGCATCTTGGAAAGGTTAATGCTATATTCATGCCCCACTGAGCTACATAGAACCACTGTAAAGACTTATTCACATGCTGCCTTTGATTGCTCTGTCAAGCTGTTAGGAACAGCGCCAAGCTCGTTGTAATCCTGCCCCTGCAAACAGCACAGGACAAGGAAGGACGGTGATACCAGATGGAAGACAAAGCACATAAAGACAAATGTACTATCACTCTTTCATATAAGTGTGTTTTAGAAAAGATAAGTACTTCTGAAAGTTCATTATTTCTGGTGTTTACTTATGTCTTATCTCTTTATTATGCACTCATCTTTTTTCAGAAATAGATTATTTTTGTGAAATCATACGCTAGACTCTCCAGTGATCAGATGTTTCAAAGCCAAACTGCTCTTGTATTCTCTCAAGCATTTCTCAGATTAGTCAGTAGGCACTGCAACCAAAATCAGATTATAGATGAGTCTCCTCAGTCCTGATCTGACACATGTTTTGCTGTTGCCATTGCCCCTGTGGAACCATCTGTCCTCCTCTATTGGGCTTCCCTCCCAGCTTTTAGCCTGCTTTTAAGGGGAAATTAGCAAAGAGATTAATTTGGGTTCTTGCATTATAGTTCTAAATCATCTCAGCCAACATTCTTTACTTTGTCAATGTTTTGCTGAAATTATGCAAGAACTACTCCAAAGATAAATGTCCTTCTGGAGGGGAGCTGGAATACAATGCTTAGAAATACTGCATTCAACATGCTGCACACAGTTTTCAATCTTTTAACACGTGTTTTTATAAAGACACAAAGAAGAAGTTTTCTTTTTTTTTTTTAGTGAGATACTAAAATGTTCAGTCAGTTTGCAGAAAGCATACCACAGTCTGTCCACACGTGCTTCTGCCACACTGTTTATGAAATTGTCATGCTTGCTGGGTCACTGATGACAAAAAAAGCATGGCATAAAATTCAATTTATTAGCTTTATCCTGACAGCATTATACGTAAAGTCTCAGCTCGGTGTTGCATATCTTATCCCGCTGTTTTCGTCGTGCCCTTGTAGAGATGCATTTCTTTGCCTGGAGCCAAACAGCAGAATGTGATCTCAAATCTGACAGGCCGGTCTGACAAATGGACTGCATCTCATCAAAATTGTTTACAGAGAGGCCAAGGCCAATATGTGTCACATCACTGCTGAAAAATAAATTATCTTTATTGTCACATCAGGATACAAAGACTGGAATGATAATGAACCGTGTTACAATGATCATCCTTCCAAATTACTTTGCACTGTAATTAACCTTGGTATTAACTTTTGCAAGTTATAAATACTGTACAACTTGTTTCTTTATAGGCAGTAACTGAATATTTTTGGTCCTTTACATACCTCAGTAAGTCTATATGTGTACAATTGCATATCTAACCTGCTGAATATGAAGTTAACTTTGGAAGTGTGGTGTTCTTTTCACAGTGTCACAAATTGTCTATCATCTCTAAAATATGTGTTGGGCTTCCTCTAAGTAGAATATTTATGAACTGGGACTCCAAAACAATCAATCTCCCTGTTTATCACTTATCTCCTATCAACATTATTAGGGCTGCACCTTACAATTATTTCATTATTGGTGATTTGTTTTTATTGAACACTGGTCTATATCATGTAATAATGTTTTTAAAAGACCCATCATTGCTTGCCAGGTGATCTCTTAAATTTGGTTTGACCAACTGTTCAAAACAAAATATTCAGTACTGAATGATACATGACAAAGAAAAGCTGCCAAACATCCTATTTGAGAAGCTGGAAGTAGAGAATGTTTGGCAGTCTCAGTATTCTGATATCAATGAAACAACTATCAAAATTGTTGCCAATTTTTTTCTTTCAATTTACTATTCAATTATCAAATTACTGTTTCAGCTCTAAAAATCACAATAACTGAAACAAAACCTTACAGTAATGCTTATTATTTATACTTTATTTCTGCTTTTCAACAATGATTGACAAAGGGTGCCCCTGTTGTAACTGTACTGCCTTATACAACGAGGTGTTATTGTTACTTAGCCTGGCTTTGTTGATGCATGCTGCATTATAGGGACAGGTGTTCTTATTATTTTGTCCACCCCAGTGAGGCCAAGCTAAATAACAGAAACACTTCTCTGTATAATGCAGTGCAGAGCAACAGCAATGCAAACTACAGCCTCCAAAAAAAATCACAAGGTTCAGTCAAAACCTCTGAAAAAACCAGGTTTAACAACCAAACTGAACAGTTTCACCTCCACGAACAGAGGATTTATTGCAGGCCTGTGGTATCAGATTGCATCAGCTTCAGCTGGTTCTACGTAATAAACTGGTGAGTGTATGTCATTTCAACTTCAGTGTACAGAATGTAGCTTTTCATCACAGTGTCAATCAAAAACAGACAGCAATCAAAGATGGTATGATACCACTGAAGCTGTTAACATCTGGAGTGAGCTTCCTGAGTGGCAGACAGTTCAGTTTAGGAAACACAACAGAGGAAGATGAACTTCGGAAGCTTTTAATCTTACTCTCCAGTGATAGAAAGAAGCAACAGCTTCCAAGTAAAACACACCACAACACAATGGCTGAGCTATGTTAAATCAATAATCCTTTCCTAGCTCCTCTGTCCATGTGATGTTAGTGAGCTAAAATGGAGGGAGAATCATATTTACACATCAAGCTTCAATCTCATTCATAGTCAGGCAAACATTCAGAAATAAAGGTGGACATTTTACATGGTTAGGCTACTTTAATAAGACTATACATCACAATGTTGGCTACTGTGCATTAATTTGTAGTGTGTTAAAGCCAATATGCACAATTCAGGCTGACCCGTTGTCTAATAACAAGAGAAAGCTTATAGACAATGTGGGCATCATTACAGCTCAGGGAAGACGAGCAGTCAAGAAAAGTAAATTACTCTATTCATGTACAATAACAAGGTACTTGTTCATTGAGTTCATTGGCTTTTTTTTTATTATTATTTGTCAGCACCATAGATACTGTATATTCCACTCTTTTATAATCCAAACTGACTTGGACAGCTCCTAAAATCAACTTTAATCTTACATCATTCTTACACAGCGATCTGCAATTTATTCTTTCTTGTTTTAAGCTATAGACATTTAAAAAGTGGATTTAAGTTTCAAACTAAATATTACTAGTGCAGGGGCAGATTTCACTAGTTTTAAGAAAATACTTTTTAGTAGTCAACTAGTAAACTATATATAAAGAGAACTCAATGAAGCCATTTTCTCTGTAATGAGCACTTTTAATAGTCATGTTTCCAAAGTTAAGCTTTAAACAACCTTCATTTCAACATTATTTGTTTAAAACCAACTCTTCCGGCAACAGATGTTCACTTAAAAATAGACAAATAATGGAAAAATCCAAACCTGTTTTCCTGTGACTGTTTGGTGCAACAAAAAGGGAGCAAGCCTAGAATGGGTTTGATTTGGTTTGGGCTTTCTGAGCCTTGGACTCTTTAGGTCTCCTACACACACATACTGTACACTCTAAATGTGATGTCTTTTTACCTTGAGGTTGTGTCTATATGCAGCATCCAGTACAGCTGGTACCAAATCCTCAGCAGGTTCCCCGTTGTCATCAGCCAGACCAGGAGGATACCAGGACAGGACCAGAACCCCTGGAGACACACGGGAACATGTTCAGAACCAATATCCATAATGCTCTGAAAAATGTTGCTTGTGCATTGTTAAAATGATGCATGGATTTCGTGCTTATTGTAAGAAACCGTGACATTCCTGGGGGAGAAAGGGTGCAAAAAACTTCTTTCATTAATCTACAGCGAGGTTTTCATGTAGCTCTTCACAGGGCTTTACAAACACATTCAGTTGCACTTTTACTGAATGCACAAGTCTTCCCTGGTAATTCATTAAGGTAATATCCATACTTATTTTACTGAACGCAGCTACATGCTGGTAGGAGTTCTTGCAAGCTGCCTTTTGCATGGACGGACAAAGAGAAAATGGGCTCTGTGACACATACAGTATGTAAAAGGCCGCTGACCCTTACTAAGTAGAAGGCAAGACAAGACTCCTGGACACAGAAATGTAAAGATGTTTTTCTTTTCTTAGTTTTTTTCTGACTTTTTTGTGAAGATTTCTGTTTTCATTTTGGGTCTCTTTGCAACTATTTCAGCATCTCTTTTTAGGTATTTTTGCATCACATTCTACAGTTTTTTGTAGCTTTAGCCTTGGGTTGTTTTGTGCCGTGCTGGGGTAATTTGGGAGCTTTTTGTATAGTTGTTTGTTTCTTTGTGGTCATTTGGAGTCTCTCTGAGATATGTGGCACCAGGATGTGAGTCATGATCTTTTTGTCTCTCTGTAGACATTTTTTGGCCATGGGATCTTTATTGCAGTCACTTGTGCCTCTGTATTTCAGTTCAGTGATGCATCCGTGTGTGTCTATATAGAAGAGGGTTGATTATTTCATCTGAATCCCTACCTGCCTCATCACTTTTATTTTGCACCTGTCATCTTAAGCCTATTTATCATATTTTGTTTTAATGGCAATCTCTCTGTACAGCTTTACTGCATGACACCTCACAAATTCCAGCAGAGATATGCTTGTTTGTGCTTCAACACTGGCTGAGAAATGGCTTCATATTGGCCAACGCAGTGCCTGGCACCAGAGGGGATCTGGCACATCAAATATGACTCAGAGCTAATTCACTGAAATCATGCCTGCTTGCTGTGGAGCTGTGACACCCATTAGATTACAATACCTAACTAATGTCTGAATGTATTAAGTATACAGCCATGGCTTTGAATTATATTTATGGGCCTCTGAAGTGTAGGTGAATCAGTCATCAAGCCATGTGCAGCTATTTAGTTTGACTGGCTGTGGTGTCTAAATAAACTGATTACTTTAGCTAGGAATTGTGAGCTGGTATTTGCATGAAACATCTGACAGGGATTAGATGTTTCAGAGGCTTGGATGGTCTGGTCATCAATCCAAACGGTGTACAATAACCTACTGAATTGCAGGACAGAAACACCAAGGCCTCTCATGTGTTGGCTGTTGACAGCTGAATAGCCGTTACTTGACACCAGGCTACATGACTCTGCTGTTGTTTAGGTAAGACATACAAGTTCTCAAGAAGACTAGGAAGACACTGGCTCTATTAATATTTCAGGAGACATAAAAATAAGCAAAAAATAAGCCTGTAAATAAGCAGGAGATAAGGAACATTACAGGAGACTTAATTTATAACCATATATCCCTTCTTTTGTTTAAATTTTATAATCCCTCTTAATCTCAATTTAAAAGGGAGGTAATAGTGCCATTTCCTGACCCTTGGGAATTTAATGATCAGATTATGACTCATGTAATGGTTATAAAGCCTGTCAGTTGATTATTGGTTGTCTGGTGTGGTTTCTTGTTGCCAGACTATATTTTTTCCCTTGGGCCTCTCTTAAATAACAGATCTTGGTCTTAAAGTATAAAGTAGTCTTAAAAAAAATGTCATATGTTGACTCTTAGTGGAAGTATATCATAATGATGGTATTGAACATAATGATTTACACATTTCTAGTGTTTAATGTTTGCAATCAAAGTGTAGCAATGTATATACTGCAAAGTGGAACAGTTGTATTAATACATTTAGTTGATAGTTTAAAATGTGGTCTTTGGATAAATTTAGTATATCCATCTTTTAAATAGAATTTATGTATTTACACACACACACGCATATACACATTAATATCCCGATATGTAATTCAACAGTATTACCCATCCCTAGGGGACTTTTACTGTATGTGTGGGGGGGGAAGGGGGGGGACCATTTAAATGGACCACAATTTAAAATTTCCTATTCGTCCTATTAAAGTTTTCCTATAAGGAACGTACTGTCCTTATAAGTGATACCTAAGAAGTTGATCTCTAAAGAACTAGGACTCTGAAAGTCACCGAGCTCTGCAGGAAAAGGCGCGTCAGCAGATCCTGGCAGCTGAGGATACAGGGAGCTGTCCAGTAGATGTGTGGTGCTGAAAATGTTTAGTGCCCCTTGAGCGAGCTTTGCGCTTACAGACCTCAGATTTCTGGGCAGCAGCGGAGCACGAAGAACACTCTGCTCTTATTTTATCTCTCTCCCCAACATTTCACTGCATCTCTGAATTGTACCTGCAGCAGATGCCCCGATCTGCTCCATGTGGGACTCCAACACGTCCGGGTCCCTTGAGCTGTATGGATGGAGTTCGGGGTAGAAACTGGAGCCGATGTCTTCAGGCGGCATGTGTCTCCCTCTCGGGTAACTAGATGCGATTTTGGGGTCCCAGTGTGGCACCAGGATGTGATCCCAGTGGATGTACTTGCCGTCCATATGTGGGTTGCCATAGCAGGTGTAGTAAAAAATGTGAACATCATAAAATATGGTTCCCTCGGGACCGGAGTTAAACAAAACTGCTTTGGTGTTGCTGCCAGCCGGACGGGGTTGGCCCGGGGACGCGGTGGCTTCGCGGGACACGGAGCGCCCGTCCATCTTCCCTCCTGGCATCGGCAGGAGCTCCAAACCCGGAGCCAGATCCGAGAAGCCGTCACTGGGTTTCAGGGTCCTTAGTCCCATCATGGTCCCAAAGATGAATAGCGTGAAGAGAAACAGTGCTATGCAAGCTCTCCTGCGTAGTCTTGCCATGTTAGCTGGAACTGCAGAAGCTGCGAACGGCGTGAACAAGACCAGGAGCGCAAATTTATCCTTCTTAATCCCACGGCGAGAGTTCACCTCGCAAACTACGAACTACTCCTTAAAGTGTCCCGTATGGCCTCTACAAATAGCATATTATTCTGAATTCATAACTAAAAAGTGGCTACATGATCACAGTCAAGTCGCAGCAGACTGACGCAGCTGACTGTGGAATTTTCAACTTTCTTCTGCAGCCTCACATTTTGCATTCTGCTGAGCAGCAGCCTGTGAGGTAGGCCTATCACTGCAACAGAAAGTCGCTTCCCAAAGCAGTTATTCTGCTCGATGGAAATAAAAGAGTAGGCTGAATTTTGATTGTAAAAGTTGCCACCGGGCGGATGCTCCCTGGTGTTAATCCCATTAAGTCGTTTGGTTCGCTGATCTCCAAGCTCGATCAGCTGCTTCACTCATCCAGCTGGTTGTCCTGCTCCGCCGAGAAGCTGATCCGTCCACCTGACACCGGGAAGATGACCGGCTTCGAGATGGAGTGATGCTCTCCCGTGATGTCAGAGGGATTTTCAAGCCTCCTTGGTTGGTTGGTTTAGTTTTTACTTAGATCTCGGCTTTGCCTATTTGTGCGTGGCTGCAGATCCTTGCGCAGATAGAAAAATGCAACGTTTAAGGTAAAATGATAGGCTTATCATTAAATGTCTGCATGTCAGCAACAGAGTCAGGTTTTGGCTATAGTCTTGTCACTATGTCAGAAGTGACATCGCCATGTTTCATTACAGAGCCTGAGTCTCCAGTTATTTAGTGGGAGACGCATTAGGCTAAATAGTCTTAAAAGTTTAGACTCCTGTGTTTGATCGCCTGACTGTGGCTTGGCCTGCACAGTGAGTTAAGAGTTATGCCGACATCTAGTGGCTGTTTTACTGAACACACAACTTTTCTATGCTGCTTTCAGGTACACTGCAAACTAGAACACCGAAACTTCTCACAACTGACGGTGTTGTGCCTTAAAATGTCATCCTGTCGTGCAATGAGTGTTTGTCTGCTATTAAAACAGTCGTGTAAAATCTTGTAAATGTCCACTCCAGCAGACTATTACCACTGTTTATTTCACTTATAGTCTATGCTGCTCAAACATTACCCTGTGCTAATTTTACGTGCATGCAGTATGGCTCTAACATGTTGAATTCATCAACATTCACTGTGTATCTGACAGTTCGCCCCGTATACAACTGTGGGTGTATGTAGGATTATTTTCTATAATTTAGCCATAGTCTATAATAAAGCCAGTCCAGTTTCCAAATAGGTTAGCCTATGTGGAGAATGCAGCCTATAACCTTTCTATGAATAAATGCATAGTTAAATATTTTGCTTCTGAAACCAGGCGAATGTTTCATACAGCCCTTATAGGACCTACATCCATCACCTAAAGATGCCTGGTTGCACTCGAAACTGGTTCTTTGGGCTATAAATAGGCTACGATTATTCCCTCAGAGGTTCGAGTTTTACAAAGACATCTATTCGTACTACCATGCGTTGTGTCTATTTTCGCGTTGTATCCCGGTTTGATCACGACAAAAGCAGCTGTGTGTCGTGATAAACTGGCCGATGCATGTGCACAGGCTGCGCGCGCTCCCGCGGACCGCAATCCGTTTCTGGCAGACAGTCATTTTTCGACACAACACATCAACTCTATGGTGCGCAGTTTAATGACGAGCGAGGGTTTGGGTACATTTAGGGAGTTTCTCTTTAAGATTTTCTGTTGTGACTGAAAGGAAACGATCCCTTTGAACGAGGTGAGAGAACTCGGGCTGTTTACTGGAAAGCAGGCTGTGGTACCATAATGAGAGCATCTTATTAGTAACTGCACATGTAGGTCTAGAGAGTCCGGAAAAGGCAGAAGAATCAAGTGTTTGCAGCCCATTAGCCTGTTGCAACTTGGCTTGAGTCCAGCAGAATGGAACCTAAACGCACAAGATGACAGGAGGCAGCGCTCACTGACCCGGAATGAACTGAATTGTTGACGCTTAATTAATGTTTTCTTTATCTACTAATTAGTTTAGACTGATACGCAACCTCTTAAGTCATCTGTTGTTTAGCCCAATACAAAATCGATCTAGAATAATTAACATAGCCAATGTTTGTCCATAAAAAACTTCACCCTACAGTAAAACTGAATGTTGAGCACCAATGTGTTGGCAGCCAAAGGCAAGTGCACGGGGACTGAATACTGTGTTTTAGGAGCTGCCAAAGTTACAGTGTGAAATTCTGGCCAGACCTGGTCAAAACGAAAGTAATCGAAGAGGATAAAGGGTCTTAAAGGACACAAAAGCATTTTGTGTAGTGCTTTGTTTGTGGTTATGCGTTTGTAATACCTCCAGCAACAATAACAACTACCTAAGAAATTTGGCTTTCACGCCTCATATTTGTTAAAATGACTGAATTGTCGTGTTCCAGGTTATAAAACGAGAGATGGAGATATATAAAACGCATGATAACCCAGAATACAAACCTAGAGGCTACAGATAATTTTGCAGAATGAATGAACCCCAAAATTGAATACATCTCGTTATATCGCAACCTCTCATGATAAAATATCATTCTTAAATCAAATTAAAAATAAAGAATGTATTTCTAAGACAAAATGTGATAAACCTTACATGAGAAAAACTAAAAAACGGAGACATGGATTGATTAATTAAAGCAGTTTCAAGAACTATTCGACTTTATAAAGTAAAAAGTTTCTTATGACCTAAATTCCTTCTTTTTCATGTTTTGAAAGTCTATAGCCATTTTCGCCAGCCTTTAGTTCTATAGTTCATTTTTGGGAAAGAAACTGCTTTCTAAGCAAACATAAATTAGGTTTATCACATTTCCTGAAATCGACAGCTTCTACCATTTAAGCCATTTGTAGTGGAAAACAGCTTTGTCTGATTATCATTCAGGACAGTAATGCTGCAGTTATGTAATGTTCAGTCCGACAAATACGCGTGATTTGTGGGTCCACAAGGGGTCGTTGTGGTAGCTGTCCGACACTTTCCTCTGAAGCATCAGGCGCCATGTGGCCTGCTGAAGTGGATGGAGCTGCATAAAAAGATATGAAACAGTGAGGATCATTTTCAGTTTAATTTCTATGGATGAATGCGACAAATCCAGCTAGTAGATATTACTCCTACACACACGTCGACGTTAAGCTGAACTGTTCACTCACTATGACGATTAGTCTCAAACATATTTTAGATATATAGTTTTTTTTTTTACCATTTTATCTGTTAGTCTTTCAGCTGAATATTATTAAACTATTGTAAATGAAAATTGGTTATTGCTAATTTATTTTTTCACTTAAAGATCACTTTCCTCTGTCTTTCATTCATCCATCATCCCACAAGGACACCAGTCAACATTTTAAGGTGATGTGATCAATCATTATTGATCCATTAATTCCTTTTGGCTTGGCTTGTTTACGTGCTGCTGCCTTGCTCTGGGGCTGTTTTTAATCCTTTAGCTGAAGTCCACTTTTGCTTTCTTCTCTAATTTTATCTCTTCACTTCGATGGTTTGACTGAATTTAACTGTCCTTCCTGCAGGGAAAGAAAAAGCGCTTCCCCTCCATGTTTCACCTTTGGCATGTCAGGACATCAGCTAACCAACTCATCCCAAGGAGACGAGTGCGTTAACTGACGAGAGTCAAAGTATGAGTAAAAATTCAGTGCAAGGATTGTTTTAAAAGGGCACTTCAGGCTCTTTCTTCTATTGCTAACTCACTTCAGGTGCATATGGTTACATGTAAAGACTAAATAGCACTCGGTTCATTTTACTGTCACAATTAAAACACTTTTTGAACAGGTCACTGGTTGTTTGAGTCATAAACAGTAGGTCTGACATGTTTTAGACCGGCTCAGTCCTAACTGGACACATTTGTGTTGCAAATTATAGCAAATGTACGTTCTTTAGGCCTTACTGTGAGTACCACAGATGGAAAACTATTTTAAGATGATTAGTGAGAACCCACATTTGGGCCCTTCCATCGCACAATAAGCAAGCTATCCTTGGGGACTGTACTTGGATCACGTGGACATGACCGAGAGTGTGGGAGGTTTATTGGATGAGAAATTGTCATTTGTATTGACCATCACAGCTGACCACTGCAGGGGAGCGAAAACGCGTTTCATAAAGACCGAAAGATCCGGCAGCGGTGAACACTGGGAGTAAACTGGTCCGCAAGCATGGCAGAAGGTATGCTGGGAGCTTTGGGGGAGTTATCACTGGGAATGGTTTAAGTGGTTTCTCAAGGGGCAGGGTTTCCTTGCATTGTCTGAGTTTTTTTGCGAGTGTGTGTGTGTGTGTTTGGGGTGGGGGGTCTTCAGCAAAGATTCTGCCCGGTGACCCCCCCCCACCCCATTGTTTAGGGGGAATAGCCTAGATTGCCAGCCCCCTTTTGTTCACCTCCCTCTCCTGCTGTCCCCCTCGCTGCGCAGTTTCTGCTTTTCAAAGCATTCTGCATGAAAGTGGCAATCTGTGAGGATTACCCGGTTTGAGGGCTAAAAAGGATACTGAAGCTTGGGTGCTAATTTTGACTCAAGTCACAACTGAAGATATGGGCTCCGTTTCTAACCAGGAATTTCCAGGTTGAGTTAATTAAGTTGTTTTGTGATGGGCTGCCTATCTGATTGTAATGGGACATTTTAAAGCATTGTTCACACACGTGATGTGCAATCCGTGTTTATCGCATTAAACGCTCTTTAGAAATCCTGACATCTCTCAGCCGTCAAGATCACTTATTTTGCACAAACTCGTTAAAAAGAATGCTGCTCATTTGTCTTTATGAAACTTTATCCAACATGCTACAACCTCAGCTGGTTAATTGCGTGTTCATCTGATTGATTCGTATGGATTGATGCAGCAACGTGACAAAGAAGAAACGTTTTTTAGGCTTTTAACCCTTGCTGAAATTTGGAAACACTGCACATTTTTATACGCACCTTATTTTGCAACACTATGAGCTGAAGTTCTGTAACATTCTGTACACTTTTCAATGCAGGGGTGTGTAAGACCGAGGAGGATGAAGGACCGAGTACAGAGGAGGATTCACAGTCTTTCCACGGGGTCGGCGTGTGTAAATGGTTCAACGTCCGCATGGGCTTCGGGTTCCTGTCCATGACCAACCGAGAGGGCGTGCCACTGGACGAACCAGTTGATGTGTTTGTTCATCAGGTAGGATAAGTTATCTTTTCGACTGTTATCGACGTAGGAAAACGCCAACAGCGATGCTACGTCTGAACTCAGTCAACCTGTGCGCTGCAAAACTAGGCTATCGCTGTTTCTAGGTTCTGAACACGTTTATCCAAGTGAATATTCTCAGCAGCAGGAACGACACGTACCACCTGATCCTAATGCAGCTGGATTAATCATCCAGTCCACACAGCAGCGACAAGGTGGCCTAGGTTAAAGGATGAAATTAGCTGCTAAAAGTAAAGTGCACTGAAGACAACTACCTCTACTAGGAGGCGTTCTGATTTATGATACAAGGCATAAATCAGAACGCCTGATATATTTAACTCGCTTATGTAGATGTGTGTTTTTCTACTTCTGGAGAGCTGTGGGCTTCCCTCCTAATTTTTAGAGGGGAAATTAATGAAACGTGATCAAGAAATGAGAGTGGTTACACACTTCAACGAGCCGGCATCAGTGCTTCTAAGATGAAATGAATGCTGTGCCAGCTGAAAATCTAAGTCAGCATTTGTTCATGTTAGTGGTTGGTATGTGATGATTTTGCCATTCATCTTCAGCTTTTATCTTATGGAGGTAAAATGAAGACAGCAGCATATAACCCAAATCCATTTCTTAAGATTAAATATAGTTTTTACACACACACATACACACACATATCAGGCAATGGACACAATTTTTGACTTGGTGGCATTTCCTTCTAAACTTAATACAAAACATTCACTTTATGACTAAAATAGAATAAAGTAGAATAAAAATAGAATAAGAACTGGATTGATGACCTATGATGAACTCATCTATGTTTTTCTAAATTCTCCATCTTCCTACATGAATTTAAAAGTGGCGATGGTAATGGCAGAGGTGGAAAGTAACTAAGTGCATTTACTAAAGTACTGTACTTAAGTACTGTTTTGAGATCTCTGTACTTGAGTATTTTCATTCTCCACTACTTCATACATTGATTTCAGAGAAAAATATTTTGCCTTGTATTCATTACATTTACTTGATAAGTTTATTTATTAGTTACGTTTCAGACAGAGGTTAATAAAACAAAAAACTGTATAATCACAAAATGTATTGATCCTTGGTGTAAAATTCACAAGCCACCCAGCAGTAATTGAAATAAGCATATAAAGTAGTTTAAAATTAGTTTTACCTTTTACCAGCTGCAACATTTGTGATATACACAATAATACATAAATAATGAGAATCAAATAATATGATGTACATCATTGAACTGTGCCATTCTGTATAATTAGTTCTTGTAAGTTTATTTTCTGCTAATATTTATACTTAACATTTTCAATGCAAGACCTTTACTTGTAACAGAGTATTTTTACACTATAGTACTGCTACTTTTACTTACGTAAACAATCTGAGTACTACCACCACCGGTTGTAGTAGTGGGAGGTCGTGATAGGGAGGCAGGGGTGTGCTTCCCTCCCCCTTCTCATGTGAGTGCTGTCTGATAAGATAAAGGCATAGCATGTGAATGAGAGGAGACCACACTAAGCTGCTCATTCACCTCATGGTTCCTGTCATAAAGTGAAGCTCTTTGCTGTCTGCATCCCCCTCTCTATGAGCATGTGTGTGTGTTATACTAGCTTTAGAGAGTAAATGAGAGTAAAGTTTTGCTTTAGGTCAATTTCTTTGTCCTCACACCATCATCCCTTGACTCACCAAGGCCCCCAGCTGTGGGGACATTTGTCTACTAAAGTGCAATTTTTTTTAAAGTTAGCTTTATTTGCTATAAATACATCTACATGAAGTAGGCCTATCCTCCACTCTCTCATGGGTTTACATGCTGTCACACTCAAGCAGCTCTTACTACGCGCTAATTTCCTGCAGTGTCTTTTCTGCTCATGATGATGCATCTTGAGATTTTATTGCTCTGTGGAACAGTTGTAACTGAAATTTTATTTGACTATACACAGGAAGTTGATACTGGTTTAGTCATTTTGCAGATCTAATAATGATGTCATCTGGGGATGGAAATGCACAGTTTGATGCCTCCTGTAGTTAGAGATTTCAAATAATTTAGAAAGTGTGGTAGGTGGTTTAATGTCAACTGCCATCACACACTTAAAAAAAAATCCAATCCATTGTCAAAAACATTGTGCGTCCTTAGCATGAAAGCAAGTTGAATATTGCTCCAGATTGTAATGCTTACTACTTTTACTTAAGCAATGATTAGACTCATTTTATCCTCAAGAAATGTCAGATATGTTTTACTTCCTCCCTGTCACTATAAAAGTTGGACACATGTTAGTGATGGATGTATAAGGGTTATGCCAATGAAAGAGGCCTCAGTCTTAAAATTAGTGGCTGCATGTCCATGAAAAAACTCCAAAAGTACACTGGCTTTTGTGCAGGTGAACAATAGGGCCATGCATCTGAATGAAGCACCCTTCAGCCGTGACCAAGTTCCTCTTTGTCTCGGCAGTAGTCTTATTGCTCCTCACTGCTCTGTCTTTCTCTGCCCCATGTCTTCCAGACACATTCTAGACAGAGTTTACAGTAGACCCCGCTAATAACCCCTTAATGTCGGACCCTTCAAGCTAAAAGGCCTCATGTGTGTTATTACCTGAGGTGAGACTTGATGGGATTGGGTGTCAAAAGATGTCCAAGACTCGAATGTCATGGCTCACCAGTACATTTCCTCACTGGTCAGGACTTTGCAGCAGATGCTCAACTGTGAGAAAATTAGAGCAAATTGTGCTTTTTTTTCCCCCCATCACAGTAGGCAGTAAACTTTACAGCTGCTTAGAACCACTGGCTGTATTTATAATGATTCAAACATATATTTTGAGGACTGACATGTTCTTACAGGTTTAATGTGAAGCGGAGTCTTGGAGATTTACTACTTGTATCTAAAGGATGGTATGTGGGTTTAGTTTGAAACTGACCACAGACTTTCTTCACAATAAACCTTGCTTGGTTTGATTCCTGGTGGTTTTGGTGAATGCAGACCATTGCTGATAACTGATAGATCAATTTGACTTTATTCAAACATGAAAGAAAGTAAACATGATTGTCTCCGATAACAGCCCTGCTACATCATAAATCTTTCCTCCTATGTCAACAGTCTTGGGTATTTGTGACAATTTAATCTCGCAGTCCCACCAAGGGAATCTCAGAGAGGAGCTTCCCATGATATATTAGCTAGTGTCTGGGTTTTGTCTTCAGAACTACACCACACCTTCCCTTCCTTCATTTCACTCGCCTTTCTTTGGTAATTGGAAAGGTTTTTGGCAAAATGATATTATCAAGAGGAACCCTCTCAAAGATAACTTCAGGTAAACAGTTTGAACAGATAAATATCTAAGCAGAAAGCTTGGTTACTACTTGCGCTCAACATATTTGTTCAATCGTTGCTCCATTGTAGATTAATTAAGATAACATGTCTTAGGTGTTGCTACAAAATGAAATCATCACATTTCTTGCACAAAAAGGATCTCACACATTTAAGCACTGATATCAAAGCGAGATATCAATCATCCGTCTTCCTTCAACTTTTATCTTGCATTTTTCTGCCAAACAACTATCCAAAGAATGTCCACCCTGACCCCCCGCCTGCCAGAGAAGCCATGCTGCCTTCTCACCCCACCCCCAACCTGCGTAGTAACCCCTGCATCCTGCAGTTTAGGGTTAGCGGTAATGGTCAGTGGAGCTTTGTGATGTGGGTGGGAAGAGGCATGGGGGTGGGGGCAGCGAGTGTGGAATGCTGTTCCTCCTGAGGGGGGGATGGGTTGAAGGTTATCCTCATCAGGTTTATCACTCAAATGCAGCAACAAGACAAAGCAGCACTAAGTCAACAGTGTTGTTTAAGCAGGGTAGGGTGTGTTCAAACTGTGGGGTAGAATGGCAAACCTGGTAGTGCTAATTTATATCGTTTTCAGATGCCCTTTACTTTGTTGTAGATTTAATTTTAAGTGTATAAAACTGCCATTTTTGCCTATCAGTGTCAGAATGACATGTTTTTAGGCATTTTTGACCAAAAACCCAATGTCCCCTCTAGTAGAGCTCAGAGCTTCAGAAGTCTTCTGGATAAATAGGAGAACCTGCCAGAAGGAGGACCATCTCAGCAGCACTCCATCAATCCGGCCTTTAGGGTAGAGTGGCTAAACAGAGGCCACTTTGAGTATAGGGCAAAAGACAGCCCATTTAGAATCTGGTAAATGGCATTTGAAGGACAGGGCTTGATGGGGAAAAAATGAGACAAAAATCAAACTCTTTGTGCAGAACTCCGAGCACTATGACAACACTAGAGCTTTGGGACAAGTCACTGGCTGCGCATTGAGTGGGCTAGCCTAAGACCTGGACAGAAGAGCCTAAACCCCACAGAACAGCTGTGGAAAGACCTGAAGGTGGCATACACTTTCCATTCAATTTGATAGTGCTTGAGAGGATATGCCAGGTAGTATGGCATAAACTGCCTGAATCCAAGAGGCTTACCCAAGAAGACTGGAAGCTGTAATTGCTGCCAAAGGGGCTTCACCAAATTTTTTTTTATTTATTTATTTATTTTTTTTACACAGGACAATACCAGAGATTTTGCATGTTTTAATTCAAACAACTACCCTCTGCTTACAACTTGTGTTAGTGCCAGTCATATTTTACTTTTTGCAGAGTTCTCTTAACTTTAAAATAATCAGGTGTTGCACTCACCTTAAGGTTCAGTGCTTTGCCATACAAATAACACAGGGTTTTTTTTAAATGTATGAAACCGGGACAAATTTCCAAGGTGGTGATATAAATTCAGTGTATTTCCGTGTAGGGTTGGTCAGCAGGACAGATCTGCTGCCTTTTAAGCAGTTCTGATTAGACCGACTCTGCTCTCTTTAGCAAACCATGTTTCTGACCAAGATATTTTAGCTTGGTAAGTTACACAGCTTTGGTTGGTTAGCCTCGTGTTGTACATGGAAAGAGAATGAATGTGAAAAAAATGAAATGGTCTCTTACTGTACATATTCTAATAAGTTCATATTTACTGTCTAACCAAAACTGACGAGTGCAGTTTATGGCTCATGATGGTATCAACACAATCGAGGTGGTAACAAATGTGCTACTTTTCAAAGGAATCCCAGTACAAGGTAAAACTCAGTCCTAGTGCATTGCCAACTCTCTTTGCATAAACTGAAATGAATGAAAACACTGGCTAGAAGTGTCACCAATTTGCAGAGTTATTTCTTTGCTAACTGCCATTTGTTTAGGACCAACAACTATTAAACACGGAGTTCAACATAGAGAAATTATGTAGTTAAGTGCTGTCATGTAACAAAAACGATTATCTCTGAGCTCAATAAAATAACTTTGGTATACTGTTCAATACAGCTGTCAAAAAAATGTATAACATGTATGTCTTAATTGTTTGTATTCCCTGGTGAGTTTCTTAACATCACACCTTTTTAAAGGAAGGCTGCGGGGCAAGTGACTGGAGAAGCTCTGTCATCAGACCTTCAGTTCAGCTTGTGAAAACAGCTGCA